CCATCGCGTCTTCCGGTGCATGCTCAAGTGAGCTAAAACACAAACAGATCGTGCAGCAAGTGTTTTGGCAAGTGCTGTCAGGCAAGCTGTCGATTGACCAGAAAGACAGTAAAAAAAATCGGTAACATTGTGTGTGGTGTATGGCTTGCAATGGGTGATTTTCTTGGCAACACAGCTGTCGCGGGTAAAGATCATCCTTCTGCATAAGAGTTGGAGCGATTTGGACCCTTCCAGCTCCGACTCAGGCCGCCGTTTAAGAGTTTATTTTTACTTGTACACGTGGGTTCTGTGCGTGGAGGATTCTTGCACATCCTTTCTCTGCACTAGGTGGGTGGCGCTTACAGGTTGGTCCCCTTTGGGGGTTCTCAGTGTTGCTTCTATTGCACGTGGGCTTCGAGTTTTGCCTACCTGCTCGGATCCATCTTGCGGAAGTTAAAAATTCGTGGTGGACCCCCAAGGACTCCCTCAAGTCCACGGACAAGCCTTGCAAGCCTGGGAGGCTGCCAAGCGCACGAACTGGAACTGTCTTTGCCAAACTTAATGTCACCAACGCCTGCGTCATCATCATTGCTGGTCAAGGTGTTGTTTAAGCTTGACTGGAAGAATGCACAGAATAAACACGTCTTGCGTTTTCATGTGTCTGCCGCCACCATTGTTGCGGAACCGAGTGACCGGAAGAATGGTGAAGGGAGCGTATCTTGGACCTGAAGTTGGATCAAGGTCGCATTGGGTGCGCGTTCAGGCCAACGACGGCCAGCTCAGGGCTCAGGGTGATGAGATTGCTAAAGGTTCACTGGTGGTCCCAATGAGATTTGAGATGGGTCTGGGGTGGTGAAGAAGGTGTTGAAGATGCTTCCTGGAAGGCCTCGACCAGCGCTGCCTGTAGATCAACTCAAGCACCTTCCACTGCCCTACCAACCTCATGGACCACGCCTGAGTCAATTGAAAAGTATGGATCCCACACCAAAAATGCAGAGCATGCCGAGCGAGATTGCAAGGGTGATCGAGAGCACCCTGCGACACACTAAAAGAAGCTGGGTATGCGAAGTTTGTGCGTGAACAGTTTGATTCTGGAGCATATGTGTTGACGGATGAGGCTGCGCAACATCCGTCCTCGGCTTTTTCTTTGTCTCTGGTGCGGAGGATCTGTCTTAGTTTTTTCGGAGTTTTTGGGGGGGTTTTCTGGGATCTTGACAGGTGGTTTCGACGGGCACTGTGGTTTCGAGGGACACTGCCCGTCTTGGTGGGCACTACAGTCTCGGAAGTCTCCACCGGGAACACTGTGAAGTGGTCTTCGACCCCACCACTTCCATTGACTCCTCCTCCACTGGGCTTCTCATTTCGATTCTGTCGCGCTCTCTTCCTTTCTTCGCGTTCTCAGAGCTGAAGGACTCGAGCCTTTCACTCGCCTCTCCATTTCGCAATGACGAAGAAGGATGTTGTGGGGGAAAACACTGGACCTGTGCTCGAACACCGCGGGGCATCATCAGAGACAAAAGTTGCAAAAGCCGATGGGAGTCGACCTTGGTCAGTGCATGTTCTAATGAGGCAGAGGATAACAGTAATTCCTCCAGCGGACTTCACTTTGTTGCAGTGCGCTGATGCAGAAATGGCCTGACCTGGAGCCATTTTGCAAGTGAACAAGAAGGGTAGACACTCAGACCAAAGGCACAGCCTTCGCGATTCTGGATGTGGTGTATGCAGGGATTCTTGGCTTACAAACCTCTGACTTTCTTAACTGACTGTGAAATGTGGTCACAGCAGCCTACTTAAACCAGGCTTGCTCATCGAAATGGGGGCCTGGTGACTACTTGTCGGGCTCTTTGGGATTCTTGTAAGACACTGAATGTTGTGCAACTAGCCATGTCGTGTCTGCTGAGTGTCGATATGCCCGTTTTCCTGAAAGGCTGAGATGTGACTGGGCGTCGCTCCCTGCGCTTATTGATGGGAGGTCTTACCCCAGGGCATTGTGAACAGGGTACTCACAGGCCTGCTTAATCTTGCCAGTCATCCCACTGGACTGGTTTGGCTTGGGCAAGAGCAAAGAAGCAAATATCCTGCAGGGCAGATGCAAGAGAGTAATGAAGCTAAAGGCTCTACAGATCAGGGTGAGCTGGCGAACCTGGCAGGAGCCAATGCCATGCAGGATGACTACGAGCCTGGATAGTTGAGCATTTTGCTCCTACAGCTGGCTCTGTACTACGTTTCACCTGAAAAGACTGCCTGTCGGCAGAGAGGCGAAACCAGGGCTCTGGTGGTGGGGCCTGATAGGTAGTTCTCTTTAGGTAGGTAGTACTTCAACTGTTTCACCCGCCGAAGGCAGCGCTCGTTCGCCTCCCGACCAACAAAAAGAAAATCCATGTTTCTTTGTCGTCCTGATGTACATGGCACATGCAGGTAGGAAGTTTTCTGCTTTTGAGTGTCTGCACTTGTGAGTTTTGTGGACGAGAGTGACTCCACGTTCGTTTCGTCACGTCTCGTATCGTTCGTTTGTGTTTTGTTCTTGCAGAAGCTGAGCAGTGACAGTTTGGGAATGTGGTTCATGTGTTTCACACAGCTTGGAGCCCAGTAGCTGAGACTGTGCTCGCTTTGGCTCAAGAAAAAAAAGCGAGTGCTTGCGACTCTGCTTTTCACACGTAGTGCGCTCGAGTCTGGAGTGCGGGATACTTGAGCACAGCCATTACAAACCTCTAGAAGGCACGAGAAAAAGGCGCGAAACTGACATGAAGCATGATCGGAACTAACGCAAAACCTGCACTATCTCCGTTTAAGCTTTCATTTTTGCTGAGGAAACGGAAATCGCCTCCAAAATGAGCTTTCAGTGAAAATCGACATGAAAAGAACTGAAAGGAATCGCCACGAGATATGCCATAGGGACAATTGGCAAGAGAACATACCCCAGCTCAAAACTGCCATTTTGCATCAACTCTCCGTGATGCAGCACTCTGCACTGTTGAATCTGGAAGGCAGAGCTAAGCTGGTCGGTCCATGCAATGCCCTGCCTCCGCTCTCACCGTGCCAGTTCCTTTGGCAGGTCTCCCCGTCGCACTGTGGCTGAGCACTGTCCCACGACTGCGTTGGTTGCAACGGCACCACGTGTTTTCGCTGGCATCCCAGCCCGGGTCCTTCGTCTTGCCGCAAAAACTGTATGCCATTGCACCTTCAGTGGCTGCATCATGTATCTCCCGCCACACGTGCAGCGTGTTGGCCTTCCGTTTGCCATGTCGATGCCTTTGCACTCGGGACCCAAACGGCCTGTCCATGCCTGTCCCTTGGCCCTGCTCCCAGGGCAATGATGCAACTCCGTGGCCAATCCGCAAGCGAAAGCGGCAAAAAGGAAAAACTGCCATGACACCCTCGTGAGTACATGCTGGAGATAGCTCCGTGATGTGTTGAGTGTGAGGGCATCTCAATCGGCTGCCATGTCACCTGCTTGCAAGAAGCGAGACAGCTGACACATGCCATCACAGTTGTGGAAGCTGCCGAACGTCAGCGTCCGCTGTTTCCAGCAAAAGCGCACGGCAGGCGCGACTGCCGATGTTAATGTCGTGTTGCCTGCTCCTCACGATTTGGGGCGTTGCAGGCGTGAGTTTCGAAAAGACTGGTGTTTCATCGGCCACTATTCGAAGTTTAGGTTCTTGCTGTGTACGTCTGTGCAGATGTCGCATTACTTCCAGCATGTGTGCTGCAGGAAAGCTGCGTGCGAGCCCATCGGCTTAGTCATGCATGCGTGTGTCACGGAGCTTGTGAAGCCCAACCGTTCGCAGTTCTTCGACAGCGCACACGAGGCCAGAAAATTCGAAAGCCGGAAGAAGCATCGAAACCTCCTTTAAGTTCCCTTTCTTTACTACTGCTGCCCTTGGCCTGCTGCTTGAGAGCAGAAGGAAGTAGACGAAGAAGGCGTTTAGGGCTCCGGGTTGGTAGGATGCCAGGTACAGTGTTTCGGGTGGGCTTCGAAAACGAAGTTCAGTTTTTTTTTGGCAGTAAGGCTCTTGATGAGTCTTGCTGGGGTGGTAGTCATGGTAGTCGGTCCTTTCAAATCTTCTTCGGGGTTCTTGGGGCTCTCGGTGGGTTTTGAGCTTAGGTTCCTAGAGTCCACGATTCAAGGTTTGGGGATTCAGTCGCTTCAAATGGCTTGTGGGGAGTCCATGTAAGAATTCTAAGTAGCTGATGCAAGTTTCGGTGTTCAAGCTCCAGAGATGCAAAAGGCTTCAGGCCCAAAAGCGCAAAGGAACGCCTGCTTGGGACAGGCAAACCCAAAACACACTACACCCCCGCAAAAGCCCTGGACCCAAACCCAAAACCCCTCAACCCCTAAACCCTCCAAACCCCTACGCCCCTAAACGCTTGCACTCTGAAGTTGTCGATCTAACTTGCAGAGTTCACGTCGAAGTCGCAATCTGATCTTCATTGCATTATGGACTGTTTTTTTCCATGCGGGCACCCCAAGCCAGACCGAAGCTCAGGCAGGAAGCCCCCTGTACGCAAAGAGGGCGCCCAATTCCCGAATTCCCCAAACTAAGAGCCAGTAGGAGAGTAGTGTCAGCCTTGAGCCTCATTGTCGGGGTAGGAAGCGCTGGTTCCTCTATCCACCTTACTCGGCTGGTGACGGCGCAGTCTTTGTTGCAGGGGTAGTTCTCTAAAAAAGGGGTCCCTTGTTGGGCGGTCATTTTTGTGAGGTTTAGATCCCCAAATAGCAGGATCTCCTCAGAATATGGACCCCCATAAGGTACCCCCAATTTCGGAAACCGCTTTGTAAGCTGAATAACTAGCTTGGAACCGAGCCTTCTGCCAACTTGTAGATGGCTTTGCGCAAGACGCAAAACCCCACAGCGGCTGGGGAGCAGCAACCGGAAATCTGCAGTTCGCCGGTCCAGAAGAAGATGCACGGAAAAGGGGCGGCTGCGTCGTAGCTTTGGCTCCGACCCTGAAGCTGTCAATTGGCTCCGACCCTGAAGCTGTCAAACCCCTTATTTTAGCCAAGTTGTTGGGGATTCCTCATGCTCTTTCGAGAGCGACTGCTTCGACAAGACACCGTTGATCCCAGGCTGCTGATGCCACACCTGCCACGGTGTCACCAGGCAACCAGCCCTGAAGCCCTGCCGCCCTTACTCTGTGCTGTCTTTAAGCCCTGAAACCTGAACTCAAAAGCCATGTGCCCCTGAAACCCTGAAACCCCTAATATCTGGTGCTCGATTTGTTACCCCCACCCCTCGTGCGCAGAACGCTCGCAGAGTCGCCGGCAGAGGAGGCCAAACACTTTAAAGCCATTTTGGCTCACATTCCGCTCCTTTCCGCAGCACAATCCGCCCTGTCCCTGATGATGATGGCGATGATGATCATGGAGGACTTGTGCGCATGATTCTTCAGTGTTGTGTTGCAGAGGGGTCGCTAAGCAAACTAAGTCAGCCACCGGCAAGGAGCATGGCGGATCTTGCCAATCTCCAGTGCCGGCGAGCGTGGCGACGCTGTTCGGCTGTCTCCTGCTAACGGGTGCAGTTCAACGCAGCGTGTGCGTGCAGGCATCGCTTCGGATCCGCGAGCAAGCTCTCTACAGCTACTCTGGCAAAATTCTATACACAAGTGCCAAACTGCTCTCGGCCATCTGGAGAGGCACCAGGCTGGCTTCAACATTTTCGCTTATAGTCGCAGCTGGGGCAGTGTGGTGCTTGGACACAATCCTCCATGGCGACATCTTCCTATGCGATCAAGACACGGACATCGATGTTTGGGGCTCAAACCGATGTGGCGGTAACGCAGCCCATATCGACTTGAATCCACGGAAAGTGTGGAAGAGAGTTTCCAGCCGTTCAGCTTGTGCTTTCCTCCTGCACGACGGCACCGTGCACGTTTTCGGCAACGAACGTGGGGGGGGTAACCCTAGGGCAGTGCAGGGCCAACTTCATCACGTCAAAGATCTCGTAGCCAATGAGGGTGCTTTCCTAGCATTGCTAGAAGACGGCACGGTCGTGTCTTGGGGCTCCGACCATTGCGGAGGCTCAATTGAGCAGGTCCATGACGAACTCAAGAATGTCCAGTTCGTCTGGTCAAATGAAAAATCATTCGCTGCACTGCGACAGGACGGGACTGTTGTTCTTTGGAGCGACTCCCAAACGAGACCACGCATTTACCCAATGCATGCCAGATGGATGGCAGCAACAGTCAATGCGTTCGCCGCCATTAGTTCTGTTGATGGTGCCAGCAAAGCTGTGATCTTTACAAAGGGTGACCGGGGTTTCCATGTAGAAGATGTCATGCTGCCCCACCTGGTGAAGGTCGAGGGTGTCTTGGCCACTACTGGCGCCTTCGCATTCATCACAAGGGATGCTACTTGGCACTTGTGATGTGATGACCCTTCCAACTCGTGCAGGTAACAGCGGGGGAGATTGCTCCGAAGTGAAGGCAGAGCTTGGTCGCCGAAAGGTTCGGGACATTCTTGCGCACAAGAGCATGGGAAACGGCTTTGCTTTCGCCTTTGTGGTTCTCAACAGTCGGGGACTACTCGACGTCTTGACTTGCGGGTCAAAGAAGAACGGTGGTGATAGCAGCTCAGTCCAACATCTCCTGACAGACTTGCAGGATGTGCAGATTTGCAGAACTTCTCGAGCCTTTGTGTTCAAAGTCATCAACCGACACGGCCAGCCGCAGTTGGTCACCACAGGCCGACGGGACTTCGGTGGAGATCGGCGGGATGCCATGGCTGCCATCAGAGCGGCGTACCCACAAGTTGACCCACGCGAAGTTGATGAGGCTGCACTCAGCAAGTTGCTAGCAACAGCCGAGATCCACTCCAACAGAGCATCCTTGGTTGCGGTCCTAGATGGAAGAGTAGTGGCGTGCTGGGGCCACAGCAGGTGCAGCAAGGGCTTTCATGCTAAGAGGGCTCAGATTGACGAGGAAGGTGTGGAGGAGATATGCGCCTCCGGAATGGCCTGGACGGTGATCACAAGGCGAGGCAGCAGAATCAGTTGGGGCTGCCCAGAGAACGGTGGGAACGGTTTCGAAGCTTAGAACAATTGTTTTGTATCTAAACAGACTCCACAGCCGGCAGTATGTACAGGCGTCGGCTTCGAGTCAAGTTCCGGGGACTTCCCAAATTTGCTGCAAGTTCCGTGGCATGAATCATGCAGTCGTGTCACGGGGTTCCGATTGTGATTGCCATGCAGTCTTGAGCACCCGAGCCTGGCATAAGAGTTTGGCTCGGGGTGCTTTTTGCAGCGGTGGGTCGACATGGCACATGTCGTATCGAGCGGGAGGCTCCGAGCTTGAACAGCAGTTGAACGGCCGTTTTGGCTCAGGAGTTCCACTCCTGGCAGCGGGTTGAGACGATTCATGTCATCAACCAGCGATCAGATTGGCGCCGATGGTGCAGGTGGTGAGAAATTGCCTCTTGCGCCATGAGCAGCTCCGTTCCGCTGCCTATTGATCATGCCAGCATGCTTCAGATTTGAGAGCCGCTCATGTAAAGCATTTCCACCAAAACAACAACCGAAAATCTGCAGTTCGTCGGCCCAGTCTGGTCCAGAAGAAGATGCACGGGAAAGGGGCATCTGCATATTCGCGTTGTCTTACGCCTGAGTTAAGCCGGCCGGCAGCTGGGACCCGAATTCCCTCCACTCTTGGCCCTAAACCCTGACGTCTCAAAGCAAGCCACATTCAAACCGCAGCCCCACAGCCCCAACCCCAAGCCCCCGGCCATTTGCAAGCCTCAAGACAACAAAGGCTCGATAAGCTCGAAAACCCTGAATGCCCTGCCTAGCGTACTCAAGGACAGCCCGGAAACCTAGACTCAAAAACCGTGAATGCCCTGAAACCAAAACTCAACTCTATACCCTCAACCCTCAACCCTGAACCCTACCTGAATGCCCTGAACCTACAGCCGACTGCTGTCTGCTGCTGGCTCACAGGGCTCCGGCAGTGGGTGCTCGATTTGCTACCCCCACCCTCCTCCAGCGCAGAACACTCGCAGAGTCCCCGGCAGAAAGGATGGCGTCCAGGCGAAGCCGGACCCTTTGCGGTTTTTTTTTGTTGGGGTTTAGGGTTTAGGGTTTAGGGTTTAGGGGGTTTAAGGGGGTGGGTTTAGGGATTTAGGGTTTAGGGGTTTAGGGGTTTAGGGGTTTAGGGCTTAGGGTTTCAGGTTTCAGGGTGTTGAGGGCATTCCGCCATAGAAGCTGAGGTCTCTGGGATCAGGGAAATGCATGACAGGATGCTTTCATTCCATGTTTTGAGGGGTTTAGGGTCTGAAAGTTGTGAGTCCAATTTCACGATGCTGCTGGAAGCCTTCCCCATGCGCCCTCAGCCCCTAAACGAGAAGCTGTGACAAACAAAAAGATCCCCAAAAAGGCCTGCGCCCCAATGAGTCCTAAGATCAGTTGAGGCAGGGTCCGCAGGCCTGCAAAAAATTATGGGGCTCACGATAGGGTTTGTTTGTGGGGCTTGTAGACCCTCAACCCGTAGCCCTAAACCCTCTAAACTCTGTATACTCAAAACCCTTGATTCCCTCAAAGCCCTCAAATCTTTCTCGACCTTCAACTTAACCCTAAACCCTAAACCCTAAGCCCAAAACCCCAAACCCCAAACCCCAAACCCTAAACCCCAAACCCTAAACCCTAAACCCTAAACCCCCCTTAACCCCCCCTGAAAGCAGGTCCACAGCAATGGGAGTGACCCTGGGAGCCCTGGGTGCGGCCTCGTTGGTGGGCACGGCGCGGGGGCTCGGTTTGAGGGTTCGGGGTTTAGGGTTTAGGGTTTGGGGTTTAGGGTTTGGGATTTAGGGTTTAGGGTTTAGGGTTTAGGGTTTAAGATTTAGGATTTAGGGGTTTAGGGTTTAGGGTTTAGGGTTGGAGGGTTTAGGGTTTAGGTGGTTTTAGGGTTATAGGGTGTCTTGGGTGTTTTGGGGGTTTTAGGGTTTTAGGGTGTTTTTTGAGTGTTTTTGTGGGGGGTTAGGCAGTTTGTAGGGTGTTTTTTGGGGGGTTGGGGTGTTTTTGGGGTGTTTTGGGGGTTTAGGGTTTTAGGGTTTGGGGTGTAGGGTTTGGGGTTTTAGGGTGTTTTGGGGGGGTTTAGGAGATTTTAGGGTTTAGGGTTTGGGGTTCTAGAGTGCTTTAGGGGTTTTGGGGTTTTAGGGTTTCGGGCTAGGGTGTTATGGGCGTTTAGGGGTTTAGGGTTTCGGGTGTTTTGGGGGGGCTCGGGGGTTTTTAGGGTGTTTTGGGGGGTTTAAGGTGTTTTGGGGGTTTAGGGTTTTCGGTTTCGGGGGGAGCGGCTACCGGCAGAAGGGCTGTAAGGCGTTCAGGGTTTTCGGATTCGAGACGTGGGGTTCGGGGTATAAGGTTCGTAAGGTTTCAGGGTTATGTGAGTTATGTGTATAAGGTCTTTTGGGTGCAGGACCCCAAGCCCCAAACCCCAAGCCCCTGAGTTCTAAACCCTGAGGGTTCCTAGGGATGTGTTCCAGGCGCAGAGGGTTTTCCTGCACCAAGTCTTCACCAGATTCAACCCTGAACCCGAAGCCACTAGGCCTGTTGAAAACCCCAAGAAGCCCTACAGTATCTTCAACAACACCTGCAACGAGAGTGTGGGCTGTTGCTGGCTGCATTGCAGGTTGCCTGTTTTTTTTTTCGGGTCGCTTCGTGTCGGGGAGGGGGTGGGTGGCGGGGGTGGTTGGGGGGGGTGGTTGGGTTGGTTGGGTGGGGCCAAGGGGGTGGGTTTAACTGCATCTCTCACACCATGATGCAGTTTCCACGCTTAGAGTTTAAGAAGCTAGCTCAGCCACTCAAGCTGCAGCCCAAAGCCCAGGCCAACGTCCGTGAAAACCCCAACAGACAATTTCCCCAGGAGCCTGCAAAATGTGCTTAAACCCCAAACCCGCAGCCCCTTATTCTTTCGTATGATGATGACTCTTCGTACTGCTATACGACTACTATTCTTATTGCTACTCTTACTGTTCTGATGAATTTCCATTCTTCCTTGCTGCTATTCTGTTCTGTTCGCTTCTTCTGATTTTTATATTTTTTTGCTTCTTCTGCTTATTTGCTTATGATTTTGCTACCACAAAAAGAAGGCACCCGAACCGAACCTGAGGCCTTCGTGGCCCCCACGGCGCCCACGGCCGCACCGACGCTGCGAGGCGCGGCGGCGCACTCCGGCGAGGGAGCCAGTGGAATGCAGGCCCTCGCTTCGCCTCCCTGTGTGTGTGGGGTTTAGGGTTTAGGGTTTAGGGTTTTGGGGTTTGGGGTTTAGGGTTTAGGGTTTGGGGTTTAGGGTTTAGGGTTTAGGGTTTAGGGTTTAGGGTTTGGGGGACGGCAAGTCCAAGCATTCACTAGTCGAGCAGCTTGTTGGGCGTTGGAGAAGCCAAGAATCCCATAACATTAAGAAAGCCGAAACCCTAAAACCCGATGCTAACCCTAGGGCCCAAACTCTATGCCCCGCACCCTGGGGCGCTAAACCCCCCGAAGGCCCTAAACCCCATGCCCCAAACCCTACGGCCCTGAACCCTATGCCCCAAAATCTAGGACCCCAAACCCTACGCCTCAAACCCCACAAACTCTTGACAAAAAAAGCGCAGGAGCTATGACAAAATGCGCATGGGCTTTTCACAAAAGGTGCACGAACTTTTGACAAAAAGACACGAACTTGTAACAGAATGTCGGCGAAGTTTTGACAAAATACCCACGAATTTTTGAAATATGCCGGCGAACTCAATTGGATTTTCGTGAAGACCCATCTTAGGGCGAGGGGTTAGAGGCTACCCTAAACCCTGCAAACCCAAAAAAAAACCCGGTACGCCCGAACAACCCTATAAAGCCTATAAATTCTACACGCCCTATAAACCCCTGTAAACCCTAAAGTCCCTAAAACCCTCAAAACCCTCCCAAAACCCCTAAAACCCCCCAAACCCCGAAAACCCTCAAAAACCCTAAAAACCCTTAAAACCCTATACCCGAAACCCCAAATCCTAAAAACCCCGGAAACCCTCAAAACAACCTATAAACCCTAACCCTAAACCCTGAAAACACCAAAAACCCTAAACCCTCAAAACCCTAAAGTCCTCAAAACCCTCATCCCTCAACCCTAACAAAGCCCCAAAAAACTCCCCAAAACCCTAAAAAAACCCTTAAAAAAACCCTAAAAAAGCCCTAAACAAACCCTCTAAACCCTAAAAAAACCCGAAGGCCGCCGCGGCCACCGCCGTCGCCAGCGCCGCTTTGGCCTTGGCTTCCTCGGGCCGCCGCGCCGCGCGCGCGGGGGGCTGCGCGCGCCTGGCCGAGGCCCCCCTTTCGAGGGTTTAGGGTTTAGGGTTTTGGGTTTTGGGTTTAGGGTTTAGGGTTTTTTTTGACTGATGTATTTGCTTATATTCATTTATTTAGTTTTTACTTATTGTTTTTTGCATATATCTTTAATTTCCAGTACTACTACTACTACTACTACTACTACTACTACTACTACTACTACTACTACTACTACTACTACTACTACTACTACTACTACTACTACTACTACTACTACTACTACTACTATTACTACTACTACTACTACTACTACTACTGCTGCTGCTGCTGCTACTACTACTACTACTACTACTACTACTACTACTACTACGACGATTGTTACTCTTAACGATGACGATGATCATGACTGCTCTGGCTATAAGCGCAATTATTTTCATGGCTGGTTGCTTTTTGCTTTGTTAGATATTGGTTTTTGTGAAAGGTTTGTCGTTCAGGGTTCTTGAGGGTTTAGATTCTATTTTTGGGGTGCCTTTGTTGCGCAAAAGTTTGGGTTCTTGAAAGGGTGCTTTTGAGGGTTCTTTGGGAGTTCTTCTTGTAGTATATAGAGTTCTTTAGGGCTTGATTAGGGCTCTCGAGGTTCATGAGGCTAATGTAGGGTTTAGGGTTTCGGTTTAGGGTTGGTTGTTCAGGGCTTCTTAAGTTTTAGCGAGGGAGGGTCTGGGGATTGGGCTTCAGGGGTTGTTTGGGGTTTCGCTGGGGTTTCGCGCGTCTAGGGTTGAAGGTTTAGCCACGAAACCCTTGCAGCTTCACGAGCCTTAAACCCTAAACCCTACACCCTAAGCCCCAAACCCCAAACCCTAGACCCTAAACCCTAAACCTGCCATGTGCGGTTTTTGGGGTTTGAGGTTCGGGGGCTGGGGGTTGTAGGACGTCGGAGCATTTCAGTTCTTCGAAGAAGCTTTGACCTCCGAGAGGCCTTTAAGCGACCTTTCCTTGAGGGCTTAGGGTTTAGGATTTAGGGTTTAAGATTTAGGTAGGGTTTAGGGTTTAGGGTTTAGGGTTCAGGGTTCAGGGTTCAGGGTTTAGGGTTTAGGGTTTAGGGTTTAGGGTGTGGGGTTTAGGGTTTAGGGTTTAAGATTTAGGATTTAGGGGTTTAGGGTTTAGGGTTTAGGGTTGGAGGGTTCAGGGTTTAGGGTTTAGGGGTTAGGTTTTGGGGTTTGGGGTTTGGAGATTGAGGATGGTTAAGCCCAAGCCCTAAGCCCCCAAGCCCTACACAAAGCAGGGTTTAGGGGGTTGGATGTTTTATTTAGGATGTCAGGGAGGTAGGTCTCGGGGGACTCAGACTGCTGTTCGTCACTCTGCAGCCGTATTCACCCGAGACCTCAAGCCCTTGAAGCCATCTTGGCCCTCAACCCTAAAACATAAATGAGCCCTAAGCCCTAAACCCTAAACCCAACCCGAAACCCTAAGCCCTAAACCCTAGCCCTAAACCCGAAACCCTATAAACCCCCAAACCCTGCAAGCCTCTAAACCCCAGAGGCCACTGGCACCACAAGCGAGAAGCCCTTCGCTGGGGGCCTCATCGGCGGCGAGTCAGCCTTCGCGGGCCAGGCATTCCAATTTCAGGTTTGTGGGTTTAGGGTTTAGGGTTTAGGGTTTGGGGTTTAGGGTTTAGGCGCTTAGGGGAGTTGAGGGTTCAGACACTTAGGGCTTATAATAGGGTTTCGAGGTTTAGGGTCTAGGGGAGTAGGGTTTAGGGGCTTAGAGTTAAGGGGTTTCGGGTTTAGGAGTTCAGGGTTGGGGTTCAATTTGATTCACGTGCCCTTAATGGGTTTCCACTTAACTGTATTCTTTGTTTTTACTCACTATCCTCACTTAGCTGCACGAGCATCCGGAGTGTGGTCCACAACATGCTGAAAGAAGTCACTGCGATGGAAGGCCTACATTCAAGAAAGGCCAATCTGGAACAAGTGAAGCACCCTAAACCCGAACCCCTGAACCCTAAGCCCTAAACCCTAAACCCTAAACCCTAAACCTAAACCGATTGACTACTAAACTGTATTCTTTGTAGTTGGAGGTGCCTTCAGTGGGAATGGAGAGTCGCACAGTGTCTCTTCTCCTTTGGGTTCTCCTGTACATGATTCCGCCTTATCCGGAAAACACTAAACCCTAAACCCACAACCCTAAACCCTGATCCCAACCCCAAAAAGCCGTCAAGTTCCTAAACCCAAACTCTTTGCACCTCTAGGGTACAAATGGGTTGAAAGTACCGTTGGTAACTCGGTTCCGAGTACCCCGAAACCCTAAACCCTAAACCCTAAACCCCAAACCTTAAACCCCAAACCCCAAACCCCAAACCCTAAACCCCAAACCCTAGTAGAGCCCCAGGGAGGGCCAGGGCTTGAAAGACCGACACCGCCTGGACTTAGGTTTAGGGTTTAGGGTTTAGGGTTGAGGGTTGAGGGTTGAGGGTTGAGGGTTTAGGGGTTTAGGGGTTTAGGGGTTTAGGGGGTTAGGGCTTTAGGGTCTCGAAGCTCCGATCAAAAAGCCCTCAACCCCGGAACCCTGGACTCTCAAGCCCAAAGCCCAAGCCCTTAAGCCTGCAGCCCTACACCCCGAGCCCTACAAATTTCCACCCTGCACCCGTAACAGCCGCACCATAAAACCCTAAACCCCCCAACATTAACGCCCTAGGGTTTCGGGTTTCGGGTTTCGGGTTTACGGTTTAGGGTTTAGGGTGAACCACGCCAGGATTTCAACTTTGACCCGCTCGGCCTTTCCGTGAAGTGCGAGAAGTACCTTCCTTGGTTTCGTGAGGCGCCGGTGGGTGGGAGGTGAGGGTTGGGTTAGGCCCGCATTTTGCGACTTTGCTTCCAGGCATTTCTTCGTTTAAAGGTCTGAGGGTGTGCCAGGTTTCTCAGACCACCGACCACCGAGGGGGGATGCAGAGATGGTTTTGTCCAGCACAGTTTTGCCCCTTGTAGTCCTTTGTAGCTTGGGATGTAAACCCTAACCCTAAACCCTAAAACCGAAACCCTAAACCCTATACCCTAAACCCTAAAGACTGCTAGTAGAAGGGGGAACATCCCAATTTGAGCCCTTACAGAAATCCCAAGCCCATATTCGTCGAAGGCCAAAAACCCCGAGGTTTCAACCCAGAAATCTGAGGAACTTCAATGAAGCTACCATGATAGGGTGTACTTGTGTGACACGATAGAAGTTGCAGAGTAGATCGTATAGTGTCCTCACTATTCTAACTTCCCTAAGCCCTAAACCCTAAACCCTAAACCAGAAACCATACACCTGTTTTGAGTTCCTTGTTGCCAGACCCCGGTTTGAAAGAACTTGTCCTTGGGCCCCCCCCCCCTCTCCGCTGCCTGCACAGGCTGAGCTGCAGCTCGTCCGCACCGCCAGACGAGGGGAGCCCCTTAGGGTTTAGGGTTTAGGGTTTAGGGTTTCGTGTTTCGGGTTCAGGGTTTGGCGTTGCGCGCGTCGGGCGACAGCATGAAAGAACGCTCGTTTCTATTAATGCTTTGGGCTTTGCGTTCAAGTACACAGTATGTCAGATAGGTGAGGAGGTGCGTGATTTGCTATTTCTGAACGCATCATAGGGGGTTTTACGAACATAAGGACCCCTAAAGACCCCTAATCTAGTCCCCCAAATCGTAGGTTTCGCTTATGATAAGGACACCAAGAAGGTACCCCTAATGTCCGAATTCACCATTAAAAAAGAAAGAAACACAGGTCATCATCTCCTTGCGGAAGGTGTCAATGTACTCAAGTGATTAAAATTCGCTGGTGCGAGGTTCTGGTGTCGTCTCTCCTAAAAAAGGCTTTAGGGCTTAGGGATTAATTAGGGTTTAGGGAGCCATGAGAAGTTGATTTTGCCTGAAGTATTAGGGGTTTGAGGATTTAAGGTTTAGGGCCTCCTTGAAGCAGCAGAGTGGCCCTAGAATTGTGGGGGGGGGGGAGTGGGGTTTAGGTGGGGTTTAGGGTTCAAGGGGGTAAAGGGGGTGGGTCAGTTTGCCGTCGCGCCGCACTCAGAAGCAGGAGTGGTTGTACAGCTGCCATTTGTTGACCTTTCAGCGCGCTTTCCATGAGCTTTCCACAGTACGGGGTTTGCTGAGGAGCTTGGAGTTTCAATCGCAGCGATAGCACGGGACTCGCAAACCAGCTCCCCAAGTCCTGAATCAGACCTTCAGCCCTGAACTTCCCCAAGCCCTAGGCCCTAAACCCCAAACCCTCAACCTAAAAGCCTAAACCCCGAAACCCCATAGCCTCAACTTCAATGCCCTCGGCTCGCCTATGTTCTTCGGTTGGGTTTTGTGGGTTTTGGTCTCGGGGGGGGTTTAGAGCTTTAGGGTTCTTTAGGGTTCATAAGGTTCAGGCGGGTTCAGGGGAGTTCAGGGCGGGGGTTTCAGGGGGTGTTCAGGGGGTTGTTTTTTGGGGGGGGCTTGGGGGCTTGGGATCAAGTCAAGGAAGCACGGCCGCATTGCGATGCTTGCCTGGGTTGGCCTCGTCGTCCCAGAGTTCGTGCGCATCCCAGGCTCGATCGGTTTAGGGTTTAGGGTTTAGGGTTTTGGGTGTTTAGGGTTTAGGGTTTAGCGTCCCCAAAGAGCCCAAGTAGCCAATTCAGAGGAAGATGCCCCCATGATGTAAGGGTAGAAACTCCTTAATCAAGGGGTAGTTGAGAGCTCTTTGGAGTGGGTGCTCAGCATGTTTGGGTAGCTACAAGTGGGTTGATAAGTAGGTTAGCCTTACTTAGAACTCTACTTAGAGGGTCCGTATAATCCTTCTTAGAACTACCCATGAACCTCCAAGAAAGCCCAAGTCCGGCCACGTCAGGCTCGTCGTAATATTGAAAGGAGGCTTCGATCAATTAGCGAACCCGAAACTCCTAAGCCCCTAAGCCCCTAAGACCGTAAGCCCCGAAGGCCCGAACCCTAAACCCTAAACCCTAAACCCTAAACCCTAAACCCTAAACCCTAAACCGTAAACCCTAAACCCTAAACCCTAAACCCTAAACCCTAAACCCTAAACCCTAAACTAAACCCTAAACCCTAAACCCTAAACCCTAAACCCTAAACCCTAAACCCTAAACCCGAAACCCTAAACCCCTAAACCCTAGATGATGTAATGCTACTGGAGCTACCCCTCCTCCCAGAGTTCGCGCTGAAGATTGTGAAAAGAGTGCTGAAAAATCACGAGACGATCTTACGGGGCCAGCTGGAACTGGGAAAAGACGTTGTTGCACACCCTTGCAAGGGCATATTTAGGGCAGTTCTACATCGCAGGGCTGCATCCCTCCGACCAGTGCACAGTCCCTTCTCTGGCGCTGTCGGTGGCTGAAGCAGCTCCGACAATCGCGGAGCAAGTTCTCAAGACTCCACCGTCTGGGTCGGTGCTGCTCGAAGGAGACGCGCAGCGAACCATTCTTGACCACTTCATCCCAATCCTGTATGCAACGCGACTCTGAGCCATTTTTGTGGAAGATATTTAGGGTTTAGGGTTTAGGGTTTAGGGTTTAGGGAACCCTAACCCCAAACCCTAAGCCGCACGGGGGGTTTCGGGTTTGGGGCCTCTTTGTCAGCCTCAAAGCAAAACCCCTAAGCTCTAAAACCCTGAAACGTCGAACCCTGACTTCAGAAAACCCTACATTCCCTAAACCCGAAGCCCAAAGCCTCAACCCCGACAGCCGGAACTATGGGGGAAACCAGGTGCTGTGGTTCGGAGTTTAGGGTTCTCAGGGTTGTAGGATTTAGGCGGCGACGTGGGACCCAGCAGGTCGAGCTGCAGTGAAGGCAGCAAAGAAAAACATGGCTCAACGAGTCTTTGAATCTGACAGTGTTTTGCACTAGTAATTACTGCTGAAGGTAACATCTATACAAATTGCATCATCTTCTTATAGGGTCCTTAAGGAAGGGGGGTATCTAACCCAAGGTGCCCTCATCCTCCCCACTGCTCCCTACCTCCCATGAGCCCTCCCCATCCCTCAACCCTAAAGCCTAAACCCTAAACCCTAAACCCTAAACCCTGAACCCTAAACCCTAAACCCTAAACCCTAAACCCCGAACCCTAAACCCTAAACCCCGAACCCTAAACCCTAAACCCTACAAGTCGAGCTTGGGGGGGGTTTATGGTCTATGGGCTGTGCATCTCAGGGTTCAGGGTTTGGGTTAGGGTTTAGGGTTTAGGGTTTAGGGTTTAGGGTTTAGGGTTTAGGGTTTAGGGTTTAGGGTTTAGGGTTTAGGGTTTAGGGTTTAGGGTTGGGGCTTACAGGTCTTTAGGGCTAAGGGGATTGTTCTAGGGATTGTAGGGTTTAGGGTTTAGTGCTTAGGGTTTAGGGTTAAAGGGATTGTTCTAGGGATTGTAGGGTTTAGGGTTTAGTGCTTAGGGTTTAGGGTTTAGGGCTTAGGGTTTAGGGTTCAGGGGGCTTTCGCTAGGGCTTTGGGCACTGGGGTTTTGGGGTTTGGGGGCTTGGGGCTTCTGAGGCTTTGGTGGTTCTTGTTCAGGGCTTGGAGCTTTCGCTCTGGGTGCTTGGGGTTCCTCATCAAAGCCATGAATCCTAAATCCCAGGGTTTAGGGTTTAGGGTTTAGGGTTTAGGGCTTTTGACTGACATTTGAGTTTCGGATTCAGGGTATGGGGTTTGCGGGGTTGCGGTCGTAGGGGGTGGGGACAAGCCCTATGAGCGGCCTTTGGCGATGTCTTTTCTTGGGGTCCAGGGTGTAAAATTTTGTTGTTTGGGGTGTTGGGGGTTGAATCTTCCCTAAGCCCTAAACCCTAAACCCTAATCTCTTGACGCGTCTAGCTCCTTGCGCCACGGTTCGGGCGGGCTGAGCAGCATGTAGCGAGCTTCGGCCCCTCTTCATACACAGGACTTAAGGTTCAGGACGTAGAGCTTCATTGGGGTTTAGGGCTTAAGCTGTATTGCTTCTTGGGACTTCAAATCCCTAAACCCTAAACTCCAAACCCTAAACCCTAAACCCTGAACCCTAAGCCTTGAAAGGCCCGGATGCCTGCTATGGCGCCAAGAACGTCGTGGAAGCCCACAACGCCTGCGTCGGGAACCCTCCCTTCCCCTTCCTCATCGACGCCACGGACTGGGAGTTTGGGGTTTAGTGTTTAGGGTTTAAGGTTTAAGGGGGGTATAAGGGGCAGAAGGGAGGGGGGAATAAGGGGGTTAGCCACATTTATGTCCTGGCGGGTTTGGGGTTTGCGGCCTCAGTTCAATTAAACCCTAAGCCCTAAGCCCGAAACCCTAAACAGGGTTTTTGGTTTTGCTTACTTCTCGGGGGGCTTTTCGCGCCCTGACTGAATGGTTGAGGCTCTTGAACCTAATCCGACCCTCTGAACCCTTAAACCCTAAACGCCTAAACACCCAAAACCCTAAACCCCGCAAGCTTGTGATGTTCCCCCCCCTATACTAACAGTACTAGTCCCTCATAAGGATTATGGTACCCTAAACCCTAAACCCTCAACCCTAAACCCTAAACCCTAAACCCTAAACCCTAAACCCTAAACCCTAAACCCTAAACCCTAAACCCTAAACCCTAAACAGTACAATCAAGATTAAGGACTGTTAGTGTAAGAGGGAACATCCCAACCAGAAGCTCTCTTAAACCCGAACCTTCAACCGCACAAGAACCCAGCCTCGGCTGGGAACGAAAAGAGCACAAACGTCGTTTAGGGTTTAGCGTTTAGGGTTTAGGGTTTAGGGTTTAGGGGCAACTCTGAAAACCTGACACCAAAACTCTGCTTGCATGTGGCATAGGGTTTGTGTTTTAAGCTGGTGAGTGTATATCGGGCTCCGTTTGAATGTTGGTGAGTGTACTTTTTGTCAAGGAGGGTTTGCGGGCCTCAAAAACCCCTCAACTGAAGCGGTCTACCCCCCAAACCCCAGACCCCGAAGGTCCTCCCTAGTGCACAAAAACTGCATCTAAACCCTAAAGTAAGTGACGCCTTAAACCCGAAACCCGAAGCCTTGAACTCTAGAATCCTAAGAGCCCTGAACCCTAAACCATGAACCCTGAAACCCTAAACCCCACACCCCAAGCCCCGAAACCTAAAATCCTAAAGCCGAAGCGCCTAAAGCCCCCTCCGCCCTGCAGGATTTCTTCGGTACCCAGAACCAGCAGGGCCCCCTGTTCCAGGCTGGGGTTTAGGGTTTGGGGTTTTGGGTTTAGGCTTTGGGGTTGAGAGTTTGGTTATTAGGCTTGAGGGTTTGGGGTGTAGGTTCAAGTTTTCCAGACCTCCAGACTCCTTTGCCCCAAACCCCAAACCCCAAACCCTAAACCCTAAACCCTAAACCCTAAACCCTAAACCCTAAACCCTAAACCCTAAACCCTAAACCCCAAACCCTAAACCCTAAACCCTAAACCCTGAAACCCTAAACCCTGGTTAGGTACCCTCGAGCCCGCCAGCCTTGGGGCCAGGTCTAAACCCTAAACCCTAAACCCTAAACCCTAAACCCTGAACCCTAAACCCTAAACCCTAAACCCTAAACCCTGGTGCAGGTCTACGCCTTCTGCGGATTCATCGAGATGCTGACCACCTTCGCCAAGGCCTGACCGGCCAGTCTTCACAGTCTTTGGGGGGGGTTTAGGGTTTAGGGTTTAGGGTTTAGGGTTTGGGGTTTAGGGTTTAGGGTTTAGGGGTTAGATTTAGGGTTTAGGGTTTAAGTGTAGGTTTTATTGCTGATAGAGGCGCTGGGGCTTGCTTGAGCATCCTCCGCGGGAGAAGCCCAAAAAGGCTCACTGGGATGCTGGATCCGACCAACTCGGGGCCCCCCAGCGGCCCCACACGAAATACCAGCATGGAAAAGGTACCCAAAGAGACCACCCAAAGACCCAACTGACGATCAGAAATGGTCCCCAAAAAGGCTCAGAACTGGTCCGGGAGAAGCGCTCGGAAATGATCCGGGGGAGGAGCCCAAAAAGGCTCAGAAATGGTGTGGGAGAAGCCCAAGCAGGCTCAGAAGTGGTCTGGGTGAACCCCGAAAAGCCTAAATCAAAAACATCCTAAATCCTAAATCCTTAAATCCTAAATCCTTAAATCCTAAATCCTAGGAATCGGGACGCCCTGGGCCGGAGGTTTGGGGTCATAACTCTTTCGCAGTTCCAGCACGCCTGTCGCGTGCGCCGGCACCGAGCCGGTGCAGCCAACGGAGCTCCTTCGCTGCGCCTGACGCGACAGCTCCGGAGCTGGCAGGGGCTGTCGCCCCCTGCACGCTCGCTGCTGGCTATCGCAGCGCCCGCAGCTCGCTCCAGTTTAGGGTTTAGGGTTTAGGGTTTAGGGTTGCTGTGGGGGTGTCTTGGGCTTGCAGTGATGCGTGGTGTCTCACCCTGGTGCCCGATGTTCGCTGTTTGGAGATGGTGCACCCTAAGCCCTAAACCCTAAGTCCCCAAACCCTAAACCCCCCTAAGCCCTAAGCCCTAAGCCCTAAACCCCAAACCCTAAACCCCAAACCCTAAACTCTAAACCGCATCCCTAAACGCCGGAGGCCTGCAACGTTTCCAACAAGCCGGGCCTCACCCTCGAGAGCGCAGGCCAGGTTGGGCTTTGGGATTCAGGGTTTGCGTACTTGAGGGTTTAGGGTTTAGGGGATTTGGGCTTCGTGATCGCACTTAGGGTTTAGGGTTCAGGGTTCAGGGTTTAGGGTTTAGGGTTTAGGGTTTAGGGTTTAGGGCCATCGGCTTCCGAGCTTTGTTCTGCTTGGATCTTCGCCTTCCAGGGCTTTGGGTCCGACGCGGAGCCCGGACTTCTAGCTTCCCCAGAAGTACATGGGACTCTACTTGTAGGGTTCTTGCAGTAAGGGTTTAGGGTTTAGGGTTTAGGGTTTAGGGTTTAGGGTTTGGGGACCCTTCAAAGGGTACCCCTTCTTAGCACGATTCTGGCTCTCTTAAACAGGGACTTTATTCGGAGGGTCTATATCCCCAAGGGTCCCCCTAATCCTATCCCTTTTGTAGGGTTCTTACAGTAAGGGTTTAGGGTTTCGGGTGTAGGGTTTAGGTCTTAGGGTTTAGGGTTTAGGGAGGGGGGGGCTTCATGGGGGGGTAGGTACCTAGGGAACCGTAGGGAACTTAGGGAGCCTTAGATCAAGGGAGCACTCCCTTAAGAAGCCTGTAATGCATGGAACTCTACGTTGGGCCCCTAAGGTTGTGCCTTGGGTTTGAAGATCCTGCAAGGGCATATAAGACTCCCTGTGAACCGTACTTCCTCGTTGTGTCTAAACCTTAAACTCTAAACCTTCAACCCTCAACCCTCAACCCTCAACCCTCAACCCTCAACCCTCAACCCTCAACCCTCAACGCTCAACCCTCAACCCTCAACCCTCAACCCTCAACCCTAAACCCTAAACCCTAAACCCTAAACCCTAAACCCTCTTTCACATCTCGTCCTTGCTTACAAGGCACAGGGCTTACAATACCGGAGCTGGAGTAGTGTTCTAATATGGGGGTTTACGAAATTCGGGGTGCCGTATAAGGGAATCCTACTATTTTGGGTCTATATTAGGGGTCCCTTTTATTCGTAAACCCCCGTATCCTTCCCTTCTTTGAATAAGAAGGCCTACCCAACATGCCCGATTCGAGTGAGCATGTGACCTTAATCAGCAGGAAAAAGGAGCCGAGTTTTTGCAAACCCTAAACCTATACGCTAAACCCTAAACCCTAAACCCTAAGCCCTAAGCCCTAAGCCCTAAGCCCTAAGCCCTAAGCCCTAAGCCCTAAGCCCTAAGCCCTAAGCCCTAAGCCCTAAGCCCTACACCCTTAACCCTCAACCCTAACATGTCTGGGTGCGGGGTGGGCTCAGACCTGAACCCTAAACCCTAAACCCTAAACCCCAAACCCTAAACCCCAAACCCTAAACCCAAAACCCTAAACCCTAAACCCTAAACCCTAAACCCTAAACCCTAAACCCCAAACCCCAAACCCTAAACCCTAAACCCTAAACCCTAAACCCTAGACCCTAGACCCTAAACCCTAAACCCTAAACCCTAAACCCTAAACCCTAAGGCAAGCCTCAAGCCGCGCAAGCCGGAGCCTCGAGGTGACTACAAGCTGGGCACGAGCTTCCTTCCCAAAGAGCCGGCGAAGATCAAGGAGCATAGGGTTTAGGGTTTCGGGTTTAGGGTTTAGGGTTTAGGGTTTGGGGTTTGGGGTTTGGGGTTTAGGGTTTAGGGTTTAGGGGGCCCTGATGGCAGATGGAGGGTTCAGGGCTTACCGGGATCCTTAACCTTAAGCGCTCAACCCTAAGCCCTAAGCCCTAAGCCCTAAACCCGAAACCCGAAACTCTTTGCAGGGGTATTTCCCATAATAGGGGGTACCCCATTTATATCCCAAACAGAACATTAAATCCCGTTAAAGGGACCCCCAAACAGGGTACCCTTATTTTCCGGGGTAAGGATTGAGGATGGAAGGTTTCTTGCTGGGGGTTGGGGGGTTTGGGAGGTTTCGGACGACAGTGCATTTGAAAAGGGGTTTAGGATTGAGGGCTTGTGGGTTTAAAGGGCTATTTGTTTATGAAAAGTTAGAGCCCCAAACCCCTAAGCCTTAAACCCTAAGCCCTAAGCCCTAAGCCCTAAGCCCTAAGCCCTAAGCCCTAAGCCCTAAGCCCTAAGCCCTAAGCCCTAAGCCCTAAACCCTAAACCCTAAACCGTTCAGGATTTAGGGTCTTAGGGTCCAAGGTTCAGGCTTGAGTCGTAAGGGCTTAGGGTTCAGACTTTGGTTCAGAGCTCAGGGTTTAGGGTTACTACTGCTTGCTTCAGAACTCCCAAAAAATAGAAACATCCTAATCCCTATATTATATTGCCCTTATAAGGAGGATATTTTGTATTTTTGGGGGTTCTTGAGCAATTGGTTTAGGGTTTAGGGTTTCGGGTGTAGGGTTTAGGGTTCAGGGTTCAGGGTTTAGGGTTTAGGGTTCAGGGTTTAGGGTTTGGGGCTTAGGCGTTGATGTTTTTGGCGGGTTTCGCCTCGTTTCCCGTGATAAGGGTTTACTCGTTTCGGAACTCACGGTCGAGAGTGGCTTTGCACCCTAAACCCCGAACCCTGAACGGGAAAATCTGGTGTCAAGGCCCCCTGGACTCAGAATCCCAAAAGCATCCACTACGAATTGCTTAAGAACCCCCAAAAATGAAAAGATATTCTTCCTTGTAAGGGTAATATAGATTTCATTTTTTTGGGGGTTCTTTAACAAACAGTAGTCCAGCCTTCCATACTCCCGTAAACAACTATAAGGGGGAAGGCAGCTCCCTGAACAACCTAAACCCTGAACCCTAAGCCGTAAACCTTATAAACCCTAAACCCTAAAACCCAAAACCCAAAACCCAAAACCCTAAACCCTAAACCCCAAACCCTAAACCCTAAACCCAAAACCCTAAACCCTAAACCCCACGTTGCGGGTGCAGGAGATGAAGCTCAAGGAGCTCAAGAACGGCCGTTTGGCCATGCTTGCTTTCGGTGGCGCCATCACCCAGGCACTTGCCCCCAAAACCCGTTGAGGGTTTAGGGTTTAGGGTTTGGGGTTTGGGGTTTAGGGTTTGGGGATTTTGGTCCCCAAACCCTACATCCGATGCCCTGAGACCTCACCCACCAAACCCCCAAGTGCTGACTTCAGTTGGGGCTCAAAGCTTCAGTCTTACTGTTTTGGGGGGAATCCTACAGACACCCCCAGCCTTCAGAACTCAGCAATCTTTCACCCCAGAAAAGGCATAGCTTACTGGTCCAAGGGTTAGGAATCAGGTTTCAAGGGTTCAGAGATTAGGGGAGTTGCAGGTACCCCATGTGGGTCGGGGAAAGGGCAAGGGGCCTCCATTTTTTGCGGAACCCTTCTCCAGAAGCAAAATGAAATCGGAGCTCAGAGTTTAGGGTTATAGGGTTGAGGGTTAATGGCTACCACGGGTTGGTGGTCTCTTTAAGTAGGGTTCCTGTTTGATAGGGGCACATGTTGGGGTTCTTGTCGGGGGGTTTAGGGTTTAGGGTTTAGGGTTCAGGGCAGCCCATGGAGCCCAAGGCTCCCAAGAGCTCGCAGACTTGTGAGGCTCTTGAGGGTCGGGAACAACATCGACATGCTCAACCCGAATACACACGGAGACACTCAAACCTTAAACCCTAAACCCTAAACCCTAAACCCTAAACCCTAAACCCTAAACCTTAAACCCTAAACCCTAAACCCTAAACCCTAAATTCTGAACCCTGAGCCTACAAACTCTAAACCGTAACGCTCTGAGCCACCAACCTTCCCCACCCGAAGCCGAGCAGGCGACCCTGACCGGAAACGGCTTCCCCTGGCTCTACGCGCAGAAGGCGCGCCCTGTCGGGTTTCGGGTTTCGGGTGTTTGGGGTTTCGGGTTTCGTCTAGCCCTAAACCCTAAACCCTGGCCACTCCTGGCCCTTCTAAACCGCCTCATATAGTAGTTTCCGAAATTAGGAGTTTAGGGTTTAGGGTTAGTGCCTAGGGTTTAGGGTTTAGGGATATTTATGGGGGTGCCGAAGTTCGGGGTACCTTATTGGGAGCTATGAGGGAATCCTACTATTTGGGGGTCTACTTTCGTGTCCCCTAAACCCCCACATAGCGGTCGAAATAATTACAATCGCGTATTCCCTTCATGGTCTCTATACTTCTACAATATGAGCCCCCAAGCCCAATTGTAATTCTTAAGGTCTTGATATAAGGCCCTAAACCAAAGAGCATACGCAAACCTAAATCCTAAGCTCCAAAGAGTTCCCAAAGCCCTAAACCCTAAATCCCAAGTCTTAAACCCTAAACCCTAAACCCTAAACCCTCAACCCCAAACCCTATAAACCCTAAACCCTACACCAAAGCGCAGGAGTCCAAGTCCGCCTTTGCCTCCTCCGTGGCCCCGGCCACTGGGGCCTTGGCAGGGGCCCGCGCGCCCGCGGCCCGGGGCACTGTGTCCAGGCCGGGGAGCTTAGGGGTTTGGATTTTTAGGGTTTAGGGTTTAGGGTTTAGGGTTTAGGGGTTAGGGTTCAGGGTTTAGGGGGACTGTGTCCAGGCCGGGTTTAGGGCTTAGGGGTTGAGGTGCTGAGGGTTTGGGGTATAGGGGTGGCTTAGGGGCTTTAGGGGTTTGGGGGTGCTGGGGGCTTAGGGTTTAGGGGTTGAGGGTTTAGGGTTTAGTAATTGGGTTTTTTTGTTTAGGCTTTAGGGTTTAGGGTTTAGGGTGTCTGTGTCCAGGCCGGCGGATCGGTTTAGGTGTCTAGGGGTTTGGGGTGCTGGGGGTTTGGGGTGAAGGGTTAAGGGGTTTGGGGTTTTGGGGTTTAGGGCTTAGGGGCTTGGGGTGTAGAGTTTGGGGGTTTGTTTGTTTGGATTTTCGGGCTTGGGGTTTTGGGGTTTTGGGGTTTAGGGTTTAGGGGTTGGGGGTTGGGGGTTTGGTGTTCACGTGGGGTTTAGAGATTCGAGTTGTGCCTTTAAAAGTTTTTTTTGGGGCACTTTGGGTCTTGGAAGTCGTTTTGTGACCGCTTGGGAGCTTTTGAGGAGGTTTCGGTGTTCTTACAAGCTTTTGGGGAGCTTTTCAGGGGTTGAATGGGCTTTGCAGGTGTTGTCATTCTTTTGCGGGGCACTTGTGCTTTGCTCAAGGGCTAGGGCTGTGAAATGTTTAGGTGTTCGAGAGTTTTTGTTTTTGGGCTTTGCGGGTTTATGCACGGGTTTGAGGGTGTCGAGGGTCTTTCGGCGGGCTTATGCAGGGGGGCCTTCAACCCTAGACCCTAAACCCTGACCAAACCTAAACCGCAACCGTAAACCCTAAACCCTAAACCCTAAACCCTAAGCACCTAAACCCTCAACCCTCAAGCCCCCCCAAAGCCTCGGAACTTGGACAGGCAGGCTGGCTACAAGATGAGCGCGGCCGCGTCCCGGTGGCAACTCATTGAGCCCTGCGCTGGAAAACCTGAATCCTTACTCGGGACTCTATTTAGGGGGTTTAGGGTTTAAGATTTAGGGTTTAGAAGCAGGGAGAAGATGACTTCAAGCCAAGATTCCTTTTGAGTTTAGGGTTACGGGTTTAGGGTTCAGGGCTTAGGGTTCAGGGTTGCTGCTGGTCAAGAGCTCCAGGTGTCTCAATACCCAGAGGACCTCGACCCCAAACTCCTGGACCCAAAATCCCAAAGCCCAAGCCCCGAACCATAGACTGTGAAGCGTGAACCAATCGAACCCCCAGGCCCGTACATGATCGCGCTAGCGCTGACAACCCTACAGTTCTTGAGCTCTGGCCCTAAACCCTGAGGCCTAGAACTTTGCAGTCCTAAACCCCAAGCCCTTAACCCTTATACACGCGTGCTATAAGAGGACTCTGCGCAAAGGAAAGGGTCCGAAAGCCCCAAACCCCAAATCCCAGACCCCAAACCCCAAACCCCAAACCCACAACCCCAGACACCAGACCCCAGACCCAGACCCCAGACCCCAGACCCCAGGACCCCAGGACCCCAGACCCCAGACCCCAGACCCCAAACCATAAACCAACTCCCACCCCCCCCCGCGCCACCCGCAGTTCGGTTAGGTGCCTTTCCTGCCCATGTCCCCTAAACCCGAAACCCAAAACCCTAAAACCCTAAACCCGAAACCCTAAACCCTAAAACCCTAAACCCTAAAACCCTAAGCCCTATAGACCCCAAACCCCAAACCACAAACCCCAATCTGTTAGGTGCCTTTCCTGCCCATGTCCCCTGCCTTGGAGGGCATCCCAGGCTGCGGATGAGCTTTTGGCTTTGCGTTCGGGCATTTCGGGGTTTAGGGTTTAGGGTTTGGGGTTTAGGGTTTAGGGTTCGCGGTTTAGGGTTTAGGGTTTAGGGCTTAGCACCTGAGTCACCCCAAAGTCTTGGTCTGGATTGAATCATGGCAGCTCATGGACGCACCTTGTGCTTACAGCGACCTCTAGACCGAGGTTTGACCTCTGGCCGAGCTGGATCCGTACACCCCTAAACCCTAAACCCTACACCCCAAGCCCTAAGCCCTAAGCCGCAAGCCCCTTAGCCCCAGACCCCAAATTGAAATCATGAGCTCCTAGATATAAGCCCGACACATTCCTGAACTCCCTAAAGCAAGCACTCCCGCTTTCCCCGCAAGAAGACGGCCTAAGGCCTTAAAGCCCTGAACACTTCTGAAGCCCTAAGCCTCAAATTCTAAGTCCCCCCAAGAAGCCTTAAACCTTCAGACCCTAAACCCTAAACCCTAAACCCTACCCCCCCCAAAAACCCTAACAACCCCCCCCCCCCGCCCCACCCCCCACGAAATCCCTAAACCCCAAACTCCAAACCCCAAACCCCAAACCCCAAACCCCAAACCCCAAACCCTAAACCCTAAACCCTAAACCCCAAACCCCAAACCCTAAACCCTAAACCCTAAACCCCAAACCCTAAACCCTAAACCCCAAACCCCCAAAAGAAAGAGGCGAGGAGGAGGGCTTCGACCCCATGGGCTTCTCCCTGGCCTTCGAGATCGGCTGGCTCCGCGAGGCTTCAAGGGGGGGGGGGGAAGCCTAACCCTAAACCCTAAACCCTAAACCCTAAACCCTAAACCCTAAACCCTAAACCCTAAGCCCGAAACCCCTAAACCCTAAATAGTTTTCTTTACTTATTCATTTTTTGTTTTCCTGTTAGGTTACAGTTTTTTTGTTCTTTAGCTGATTCATTTTCCTCCCCCCTCTGTGCAGATTTTTGGTTTCGCTTCCCTTTGCTCGATGTGGTTTTGTGATGATGATGATGATGATGATGATGATGATGATGATGATGATGATGGTGATCATGTTCAGCAGGTGGTTGCTATGGCTGTTGGCTGTTGGGTTGTTTTGTATTCATCTTGCTCTGGTTTCTGTTTGGGTGCTGTTTGAAGAGAGGGGGCTTCGGGTTTTCAGCTTTGTCTGGTGTTGTGTTTGGGGGTGTGGGGTTTTCGCCGGAAAGCACAAAGCACCCCAAGCGCAGGCAGGGCCCGATGGGCCAAGCCCTAAACCCTAAACCCTAAACCCTGAACCCCGGAGGCAGAGCTCAAGCACGGCAGAGTTGCGATGCTCGCGACGGTCGGATGGATCTCCACTGACCTCGGCCCCTCCTCCGCACTTTCGGGTTTAGGGTTTGGGGTTTAGGGTTTAGGGTTTTTGAGCTGCTTATTGCATGGTCCCCAAACCCGAAATCCGAAAACCCTCAACACTAAACCCTGGGCCCTAAACAAAGCCCTCAACCGTAAACCCCACACCCTTCACTAGGCGCGAAGTGTGCCCACACTACGGGCCCCCGTGGCTCCCCCGAAGGCTCTTGTGGATGGACTGCTAGAAGTCATGGGTCTCAGACCAGCCAATGTGCTAGCTTGTGGCTTAAGTTTACTTGCAGATGCTTCTGCAAAAGAGGCGATTTAAAAACAGATCCTGCACCAGGATGGGCTGTTAGGCTCCATAACCCCCACAATACTCCACAAAAGGAGGGCCTGTTAGGCTTTGTGGTGCCGCGCGATGTGACTCCCGGCGCGCGAGGGCCGACATGATCCGTGTTC